TGTGAGTGGAATAGTTAAATGAGCAAGAGTGGGGCTAGGTGAAGAGAGCAGTGGGCACAGGGGACATATACTACGAGTCCACGCGTTCTATAGTAAATCGACTATAGTACTATGAGTCAGTCACACCCACAAGCCGGTTGTGGGTTCAAGATCCTCGTTGCACGCTCGTACACACTGTGTACACCATAGCACACAAACGCGCGCACGCGAGGTCACGCGGGTACGGACACGGTCGAGAATCTATTGGCCTTGCTACAAGAGATCGTGAGGATGATCCTTAGATCTGATAAAATCATCGAAATTTATTTATTCGCTTCTTTTATGAAAATATTATCGACGGTATGTTAGACGCATACAAAAGTGAAGATGAATGTACCTCTTGATTTGTATTATTGATGAGCAACAATAGTAAAGTTGTTTCATTGATGGTATCGAAGAGTAAATGTCGATGAACTTTTCATTTGTGTGAAAATATAATATGTGTTTCTATGGAAAGAAATATAATTTTATTTTTTTTTTTTTTTTTTTTTTTTTTTTTTTAATATTAACGATAAGATGGAATTAAGACGGACATTCATCAAAATGAAATCGATATTTTGACGTAAGGCAATTTTTATTAATCAGTAAACGATTAACTCTCTTTTTCTCTTCTCAAACGAAATGGAAGAAATATAAAATTGCAAATGATATTTAATCATAATCTATTTTTAAAAATATTGTTAATATATTATTAATAGAATTATAAAAATTAGTATTTTTTTATATTTTAGTCAGGTGAATGTTGGATACGGAGAGCAGACACGGTACTGAGCTGGTTCAGGGACCGACGCGGGACCCTTGGCTCACGATGGATTACTATCTTGGTACAGATAGTTTATCGTTGCAAGAGATGCTCGATGTCGATATCAAATGCGAAATCGAGGGTGTTATCGGCGGGCATACGGAGTTGGGCTTTAATTTCACCGACATGTCCGCTCTAGAAATGGACGATGATCCCATTGGATGTCAAAATGATCTTAGTGGATGGTTTGGATCCACCAGTTTACTTAATGGAAATAGCAATAGCTCGAACAGGTGTTTAATTTTATATTATACAACTTAAAATATAATATAAGTAGTATGTATATAAGTAATATGTTTCTTTCAAAAAAAAAAAAAAAAAAAAAAAAAAAATTTTT